CCTTTCTTCAACTCGATCTAAACTAAATTTAACTTCCCTATTTGTTCTCTGAGAACATTTGGATAATAAAAAATTGGGCATGCTTCTTACGTTCAGAACACAAAATGGCTTTTAAAAATGTTAATATCCTTATAAAAATTGAAATTGGTTGTGGTTTGTTTAGGCTCAGCGTGCGGTCTACAATCGCATCCCCAGCGTTTCTGGACATCATGCCGGAGTTATGTAGGATTCACGACTGTTTGAACCTTTGTATCGGTGACGTAATCTTCCATTTCCAAATATATGATACATTTTGCACAGAGCCCTTGAAAGCTCTTGAGTTTGAAACATTGTTTGGGAAGGGCCGATCGATGCGCTGGGATATGGAGATATCATGGACGGACAACCTTGGGCGTGTCTTTTTTCTCAGCGGCTCCGCTGAGGTTCCCAGCATCTCATGACGTCACTTTAGCGCTAGCAGAAAAGACACCTCTCGCAGGTCTCACTGCTACGCTACCAATATGTCTGCGCCCAGTTAACCAACATTGTAACTGGATGGTGAGATGTCATGTAATCACAAGTTTGTCCTCTACTTATGTCAGTCTTTAATCGAGGAGGTCGCCAATGACAACACCGAAGAAGTTCTGCAAATCGTTCAAGATGCCTCGTCGGTTCTTTTCCCCACGATATGTGACGATTCAGATGTGTTAGACCTTTGTCTAACTGCTGCTGGTAGTTCACGCCTTCAGGCTGAGGATGAAACCAACGGAGTGTGTTGAATTCATTTGTCTAATTTCATTGTGAGGAATACGTATTGCATTGACCTGTAATTTATTTGAACCGCATTCATACTATAATGGCAACGGCACGGCTTTAATGTAAAGTCAGCTCAAAAGCTCTAAAGCTCAAATTGTGTATGGATGTCCATGGATGTGAATCTATAAATTCAAAAATTAAATTCTTATAATATTTTTGCATACAAGAAATTCTCCATCTCAATACCAGTTAAGTATCCTCTTCACGTCAGTCAGAGAGTTCCAGCATTCCATGTTTAATGCAGTTGCAATACCATATTAAAGGTGAAATCATTTGATGGGGATGAAGTTGAACATGAGCAGAAACATACCATAAGAAATTCTCATGCATGTTACAAAACTATTATGGTTAGGGAAATTGAAGGGTCATGAACAGTGTATATTTCCTTGGAGATAGGCCAAAGCATAGCAAACGCATATTGTTTCTCAAGAGATACATGCCATTGAATCTCTCAGGTTGAAACATCAGCAAGGATTCAAAAGTACGTCAAGGTTGTTGTGCCAAGATACAGCGACCAAGATTTCAGAAGTCATTTTCGAATGAGCCGTTCAACAATGGAGGTGAGCCTAAAGGATCAGGAGGTACTATTTTCTTGAAGTTACCAAAAGGAAATTTGTTGAAGACATATAGGCCAATCTACTCAATGAAGTATTTTTGTTTTTAACCATCTCATCTTCAACCTTTGATTTCAAAGCGAGAAACAAGAAAGAGGGAGAAAAGACAAACTCAAAGTCCAAAAAATTTGAAATGGAAGATGGGTATGGAAAACATAAATGACACTAAAAGGCATAAATAACACAAAATGATGCAAATAACACATAAAAGACATCAGTTGCAAAGAGGAACATAGAACAGATTGTAGGGGTGCAACACAGAAGAGAGGTAGAGAGAAAAAAAAATGGTTTGATGTTTGAGATGTCTCAAGTGTAATTTTTATGGCTCCCTTTTCTTAATCTCAATCAATGAACTTGGTCAATTTGTGATTATTAGAGTCTGTGAGACTGATATCTTTCAGTTGCTGGTGTCCACATTGGCTGGACATTTCCCTAGAGGAAACACATCAAATGTGCCTGTTCAAAACAAAGTCCTCCTTCTTGTGTGGACATTGGCCAACCGGGACTCCTTCAGAGAACTTGGGGACCGATTCAATATGAGTCGTGGTGAGGCTCACAACATCTATGAGCAAGGTCGGTCATGGTGTACAAGTCACTTCAACAGAAAAATGTTAATGCACTACACAAAACACTCACTTTAAAACGAATTTGTAGAGAAACTTCTTTTTCATTTCATTCCATCTTTTGAAGGCATACGGAAGTCATTAAAATAGAAAGCTCAACCTACAAGTGCAGTTTCATAAGGGACATGGTTTTGTTGAAACTTGTTTGTAAGACTTGTTCACAAGCTACAGCATGAGCACAGACTTTGAACTTTGGACTTTGAACAGGCCTTGGACTATATAGGATGGGCCGCATGATGTAGTCAAGAGAGTTCAGATCCAAAGATGACAGGGGCCACTCCTCCTTGGTTGCAAACCCTGGCAAATTCTTCCAACACCAGTCCTGGGTCACATTAACCATATGAGACATTGCTCCACCTTGCTGGAATGTCCAAGTCTCCTCCCGAACAGAGCTTGAGCCTTAGGACATTGCGTGAAATCCATCCTGCAGGATGCCCTGCTCCCCTGGACTCAAGATCTGTTCGGGGATGAGCCTCTGACATTTCAGCAAGGTGGAGCAATGTCTCATATGGCTAATGTGACCCAGGACTGGTGTTGGAAGAATTTGTCAGGGTTCTCGACCAAGGAGGAGTGGCCCCTGTCGTCTACAGATCTGAACTCTCGACTACATCATGCAGCCCATCCTCTAGTCCAAGGCCTATTTAAAGTCCCACCACAGTCTTGACCATCTCAAACAAGATTTGGTTTGTATTTGGGACGAAATTCCAATGGTAGTGATGGCGAAGTGTCAAAAATTTCAAGAATAGGATGAAGGCCATAATCAAGGCCAAAGGCGGCCACTTTGAGCAAAACTTACATCATGTCAGGTCTATTATGCCAGGAACATGTGCAGATTCCAAGCTAATAACAAGTGCTACTTGAAAAGTAAATGAAAACTACAGTTTAGTTTGTTACACTTGACTGGGCTACCCTGTACATGCCTTTATTATTTTTAAATATTGTCCCAATGTTCAAAAACTCTACTAACCAATGTGAACAGAGATGATGTACCAGAACATCAACGGTGATAATGGCCAGGAAACTTATGACATACTGATAGGTTAGTGAAGGCAGATGGGTTAATGAGGTCTCTCCTGTTGGACTTCATTTTTTTTCCTTTTCACTGCCAGGGGCTTCGCCCCTGCCCTGAGAGTTGGTAATAAAGAAGTGTAAAATATATGCTTTCTAATGAAAGAAACGCACCATTTTTGATTCACAGCATATTACACGTTCCAAAAATTTGTAACAAGTTGACACATTGGAATTTAAATGACCAGTCAACAATTTGGCACAAAAAGCAGCAGTGTACCATTCCAAACATGGCATGTGGTGTGGGTGGCAGCAAAAGCATTACTTTGTTCATGGAGACTTTTTTATCGATATCTCCAAGGATTAGCCTTCCCAGAACCTTTTCAATCCCTGATCCTTTATCCCACCAACCCATTTATGTAGTTTTGCACTTCCAGGGATCAGTGCTCTAATGGCTGTCAAGGCAGAGCACATACAATGGCCATCAACTTCTGCTGCCCTCTCTACATCCCAATCATTTGAGATGAAGCATGGATTTCCTGGGATTGTTGGGATTATTGATGGCTGTCATGTCTCACTGTTCAAAGCACCACATGAAAGTCAGAATAGTTATTTCTGCAGAAAGGGCTTTCATAGTCTAGTTTTTCAGGCAGTTTGTAATGAAAAGCTCATATTCATTGATGTCTGTGCTGCTTGGCCTGGCTCAGTGCATGATGCACGGGTGTTCCGCACAAGTGCTTTGGGGCAGGCAGTGCACAGTATGACAGTTCCACTTCCATCTTCAGACCACCACATTATAGGTGACCTTGCATACCCACTGTCACCCCAGCTGATGGTCAATTACAGAGACAATGGACATCTGTCCCAAGGTGAAAAATTGTTCAATACCAAACTTTCCAAATGCAGATCTACTATTGAGAGAGCATTTTCAAGATTGAAAAATAAGTTTTGGAGACTTCAAGATCTCAACATGAGTAATATGATCCTGGCAACACATGTCATTATTGCTTGTTGTGTGTTGCACAACATCATCCTAGAGGAGGAAGATGAAGAGGAAGAAGATGAGGATGACTATGATAAACATCATGATCCCCACGCAGACAGTGATCCAGGTGATGCCAGTGACAAACTGCCAGTAACTCGCCTACTTTATGCTCAAGGGAAGCAAAAACGGCAAAACATAATGCAAAAGCTACAGAAGTAAGCTATGTAATTGGAGCTTGATGTTGCAGCAGAATCTGTTTAACACTAGAAGGACCAGAGTGGTCATTTTGACTGCTGCATAAAAAAAAAGTATAAAACTAGTGTTCTATAACATTTTATTTGCTTTTTCCAGATGTTATTTGGCATGTTCAAAATGGCAAAATATCATGAGAAAAGTAAAAACTGCAGAGGTCTTTGGCAACTAAGGCAACTCATTTGGCAACTAAGAGTTGCCAAATGAGCAGAGTGAAGTGCATTAAAAATTGTCAAGCAGTCAAAATGATTTTCTTGGTACTTTGTGTTATGATGTTAGGCCAGAATGATATATCTCTGAAAGCAATTAACAATGATTATCTGCAAAAACGGCAAAACATAATGCAAAAGCTACAGAAGTAAGCTATGTAATTGGAGCTTGATGTTGCAGCAGAATCTGTTTAACACTAGAAGGACCAGAGTGGTCATTTTGACTGCTGCATAAAAAAATAGTATAAAACTAGTGTTCTAAAACATTTTATTTGCTTTTTCCAGATGTTATTTGGCATGTTCAAAATGGCAAACTATCATGAGAAAAGAAAAAACTGCAGAGGTCCTTAGTTGCCAAATGAGCAGAGTGAAGTGCATTAAAAATTGTCAAGCAGTCAAAATGATTTTCTTGGTACTTTGTGTTATGATGTTAGGCCAGAATGATATATCTCTGAAAGCAATTAACAATGATTATCTGGTTCATGTTTATCAATGTTTTATTCCAGTGTTTGAGGTTCCATAGGTTTGAGCACAGAAAACAAAAGCAACGAACTTCATTGCCACTAAATTAAATTTTAACTTGTTTTTCTTTCAGAATAAATGTCCCTGGCACTTGTGAGAACATGGTCTTGAATCATTTATTTCTAATTATTTCTCCAATATTTGCGTTCAGTTGTCTCAGGATTTCATTCCTCTCCCGAATAGCTTCTGCAATGAGATCAACTCTCTTATCAAGTCCTTGGGCAACATCTTTCAGAAACTGATTCCTCTCCTTAATGAGATCGCTCACCCACTCAGGAGCACTCTTGCATTTTTTTTTCCCTTGGGAATGGATTTTGGGAGATGCTTTTGAAGATGACTTGCTTCCAGATGAGGATGGGATTTCTGGTTCCTCAGAATTTTGCTGAATGAATGACTCAATCTGGAGTGGTGTGTCTGGTGAAGGGCTGCCATTGCATACACCCACATTCACAACACAGGCAGGATCAACAGAGTGTTCCTTTTGGAAGATGTCCTGAAAATCTTGGAAAAAAACCCACTTTCGACAATCATTTCCACTGGATTCATTGTGATCTTTGGTGTGCATGAATGTCACTTTCATGTTTCTGAACTTCTTGTCACATGCTATCCCAGTGATGCTGGGATATCCATGTTCTTTCATTGCCTCAGCAATTTCATCCCAAAGTTTCACCTTCCTGATTCTTCCATCCTGGAAAAGATCTTTCCTCTCCTTGTAGAGATTCAACATAAGTTTGATACTGTCATAGTTCCAGGGAAATCCTGAAAAAATGAACCAGAACATGCTATAGGTTACCATTCTCTGAATATTCTCTTATTGATAAACCTCAAAAGGGCTGTGTGAACCCACCCAATGATGAAGAGGGTGTTGTTGCACTCCCTACCCTATTCACTGGGGCTGGACAATCACCAGTGTTGTTCACTGGGACAAGATATTCACCAATATTGCTCAATGAGACCAGATGATCACCAATGTTGTTCACTGGGACAAGATATTCACCAATATTGCTCATTGAGACCAGATGATCATCCATGTTGTTCACTGCGACTAGACCACAAAAACACATCAACCTTCATCAGCCATGATCTTTCAGAACAGCTACCTTAGCTACAAAGAAATCATTACCAAGTAATGGCAAACTGAGATCATATTACAAAGAGAGAGAAGTTTTGCTTAATCTTGCGGAAATGGTCTTTTAAACTTTTTGTCTGCCTAGTGGACTGGTGTTTCTCATAGAATTGTCAGTAGCATTTCAAGGAACTATACTTTATTCATTGTAATTTGAATATTGTTTTGCATAGGAAGATGAAAAAAAATCCAGGAACAAAAATGTATTAATGTTTTATCCTTCTGTCATGAATTTAAAGAGGGCTGACTAAAGTAATTATAGTCAGTTACTGCATAATATGAACTTTGCATGCTGATATATTTTTGCATACAACGATCTCAAAATAGAATGGGAACTGTTGACTGTTGCTTGCTGGTTAAAATAAATAATCAGACTTCAGAGCCTTTTTTAAGGTCAGAAAGTCTTCAAAATTGTACCAACCTTTGGGCCTACTATAAGCATGACTACGTGGATTAATAAGGACTGCTTCTTCGTCATCTCAGGTGGTTACAGAGGAGTTTGGACAATATTAATCAAGTAACACTTTTACATTGTTTCCTTAAAATTTTGCCCATTTGAAACTTACTCAACTATTTAAAAAATTAACTATTTTGCACAATAAAAGATACTCAGAAAAAACTTAATACAAGGACTAGAATGTAAAATACATTCAGCACAAAAATTTACATGTTTCAGGTTACAGCTAAGTTTTGCAAAGTGCAATTATATGCACTTCAGGACTTGGTAAGCACCTAATTACCTGCAAACTGGTATCTGGATTTACAGTGGTTCCCAATGGCTTTTGTAACAAAATGCCGTTATTTTTTTGTAAAAAATTATTGCAGCAAATTGTAATACACTGGACGCAAAATGCTTAGAAGAATGCCTCTTAAAATAACCAGAATGCATTGCATCATCTTTCATACTCCCTCCTTCCATCTCATTGTTGGAAGGGTCTCACCAAGAAAAACTAAAAAAAAAAAGAAATATCATATCATGGATGGCTGATTCCAATAACTATTTAAAACAAATGCTCCCCTCATTCCTTAACATCACATGATATGTACTAGTAGCTTCCTGCCACTTTCACTGCATATTGGAATATGCAAAGGATTTTCATAGCAAAGTAAAGAATAGGAAAGCAAAGCAGTAACAGTAACCCTAGTGATGCCACACAAGACTTCAACTCATATATCTGAAACAGTCTAACCTTTTTGAAATACATTTTCATTGCATGATGTTCTTTTCAATGGGAGCTAATTTCCAATTGAAAGTGCCAATTGGACTTTATTTCCAATGAACACAATGACCTTTACAAGGCACCAAAGTTTCAAGCCCAAAGCTAACATGTTGAGATAGTCACAGACACTTGAAAAGTCTTGAAAGTATACAACATAGATTAAACTCCCTTTAACCCACCTTTCCATCACCCAAAATTGTAATGATATAATTGTCGGATCACATGTCAAAGCAGAGTGTGCACAAATTAGTCACAAGATGCAAGGGTCACCCCAAAATAATGCCTCTTGTTAAGTCTACCACAAAGTATGGATGGCAAAAGCTAGAAAATTTAATGGAAGGTTTCCAATGTTTTCATTCCTCATACAACTTCATCATTCCTTCCCTGAAAGCAAAGCCAGTATGATGATCCAAAACAGTAGGCTGATGATGTCTGTTGCAAGCAAGGAGGAATGATTGGTTTTCTTGCAAGCAAAGTACAGATAGCTGTTTTTATCAATTTTTGTCAAGTTAATTACTTAATGTATATTACTGAGTGAATTACAAAATAATAGGAAAGGTAATAGAAGTGTTATGCTTCCATTTAAGTCTATGATCAGCCCCCCCTCCCATTCCATTTTTCTCAAATATCTTTTAAAGTAGTGTCTATTGGCTATTGGGTTGGCCCATACATAAGAGACAGACTAAAAAGTCATGTGATTCTTAAGGTCTCCTCAGTTGATAACACCAGCATCTTATAAAAAAGGGAGCTTGGCCTCAAAGTTGTGGTTAAGCAGGCTTTCTGAAATGATTAAGAGATCTAAGAATAGGCCAAAACCTCCTGAAGGCTGGGGTTAGGGTGTACATGATGCTAAAAGTTTCATTTTTGAAGGCACATGTGAGATCATTTGAGGGTTGGATTTGCCTCAATATTTGGTATATCATGTAATGGCTGGCACCAGGTTAATTAAATGGATTCAAAGCAGATGTTCTGACACTAAAAAAAATCTCATGCTTCCCAGTTTGAAAATAAATTAAGTGATATACATTAATCTACTCTGATAATGAAAGAAGTTACCAAGAAATAGCCAAAGCCCAAGCAGGAGACGGTTTAGTTTCAGAAAGCCAGTTTGACTGAAACTTCATGACAGAACTTGGTTCTATAAGACACTGGTATCAACTGATAAAACCTTATAAGTCATGGGATCCCCAGTTTGTCCCTTAGGTTCAGGCCAATCTAGCTTGGTCAATAGACACTACCATTTTTTAATCAAGATCCTTTTCTGTGAAGAATTAACAATGTCAATAAAATANTTTGAAGGCACATGTGAGATCATTTGAGGGTTGGATTTGCCTCAATATTTGGTATATCATGTAATGGCTGGCACCAGGTTAATTAAATGGATTCAAAGCAGATGTTCTGACACTAAAAAAAATCTCATGCTTCCCAGTTTGAAAATAAATTAAGTGATATACATTAATCTACTCTGATAATGAAAGAAGTTACCAAGAAATAGCCAAAGCCCAAGCAGGAGACGGTTTAGTTTCAGAAAGCCAGTTTGACTGAAACTTCATGACAGAACTTGGTTCTATAAGACACTGGTATCAACTGATGAAACCTTATAAGTCATGGGATCCCCAGTTTGTCCCTTAGGTTCAGGCCAATCTAGCTTGGTCAATAGACACTACCATTTTTTAATCAAGATCCTTTTCTGTGAAGAATTAACAATGTCAATAAAATATCACAAAAGTCTTGAGAGACTAATATATGCAAATATGGTGTGAGGTGCTTGAAGGCTTTTGAAAGCAGTGACTAATCCATATAAATGGTATATTAACTATTAATATAATAGCAAAATTGACAGGGGCCAGCCAGAGACAGTTAAGTGCATACAACCCTTCAGAAATTACACTTCTGCTAAAGTTAGGCTAGGCTAGGCTCAGTTAGGTTGGTGTTTATGATAGAAGAAAGGAATTCAAACAGATATTCCATGATTTATTCCATGTTTTCCGATGGCTCCAAGAAACAAGAGAAAGAGAGGATTCCCAATTTCTGTAGTGGGTACGCTATTAAACATTGCCCCAGAATCCTCTCTAATATTCGTGTCGGGCCAAAACACTCTATTGACTTTCGGATGTTCGGTCCACCTATAAGATGGGCTTTTGCCTCTTGAAGGTCCCACACCTTTACAGTCTATGCCTAGAACTACTCCTGTACTTCAACATTAGCCCATGATGGGTAACGATACATCTTTCGCAGAAAAAAATTGCGGAAAATCGAGTACCATTCTATTATTGGGTCTATGACAGGTTCCAGGCTACGCCAAGCCCTCCATGTAGTAGCTAATAGGCCTACTTAAACCAAACCTGCTGGATTACAGAGAGATTTCATCTGCCAGTTGAAGTTACCTTTTAAAATCTGCTCTTCACTCCCTTCACTATCTCCTGTCAAGTACAAAACACACACTTCCTCCTTCGCCGCCATCTTGACTTCGCACATTCTAGTTACTCCAGCGATCTTCCACTCCGCTAAGTTCCGCTTCCTACTGCTTGCCAAGGTGTGACGTCATTACTGACGTAGTTGTGCTAAGCGAAAACCGCTTGAGGTGTCTTTTTCCGCAGCAGCTGCTAGCTGCTGCAAGCAGCTGGAGAAAAAGACGCGCCCCTTGAATAAACAGGATGGCGCGCCAATATGCATTTCAATCCCAGAGGTATTCTGGCCTCAGACTTCATCAAGATGGTTCGAGGAACTCCAGACAAGCCTAACGCTGCACGTCCTTTCAGAGATGTTTTGAAACCCCGAGATTGAGCTAGATAGACCTATTTCGCACTATAATAAGAGGGTCGAGATTCTTTTGAATAGAAGGTGAATCCAGGCCTTACCTGGAGACAATCCGTTGTTTGGGCATAGGTTTAACTAGTGAGTCCCGTAGAAAGAGAGGGTGGGGGTTGTTGAGGAAAGAGTCTTCAGAAGTCTTTGAAAAATGGTTTCCCTGCAACTGCCTTGAAGCACTTCATGTGCTTTAAGGAACATGAAAGGCAATATATGAGAGCTGCACACATTAACTTTCCACTGAAATTGTGGTGACAGTCTATCCAAGCAGAATTTTCTAAAACACAAGGGCCGAATTAACCACCCTCGCGGGCTGTATGTTTGACACCCCTGCTCTACACCTTACCCTCCCTAACCCCCTAGCCACTAAACCCCCAACCCCATTGCCCTCTCTGAATGGGACGCGCTCTTCGAAGATATTCCCACCAAAAGTGAAATAATGAATTGGGATTGCATCGCGTCTGGAATCCCCAACCCCACCAGTTCTCAATTTTCAAAGCCTTCCGGGCAATCGCGTTCAAATTGCAGGCACTTTTCGGGAATTATGAAATGAGGGATCGAAGTGGCTTTTGCACATCAGAAACCCAAAGCAACATTATCTTATGACGGGAAAAAGGCTTTGGATAGGCCTGATTGACTAGATTCGATGTCTTTGAAATTCTGTCAGTGATTGAGTTTCGTGGCGGGTATAGGCCAAGCCTCGAATTGGGCTGATCGCGATAAACTTGGATTTCAACCGTCCGGGCCTACATAAAGAAACCAGATACTTGAAACATTTGCCTACTTTGAAAAGTCACACGAAATAGGATTTAATCGTGATGACCATGTGAGTCAGTCATAGCTTAGGGAAGCAACCAGCCAAATTAGAAACCCATCGAACTGGAGGTATTGCATATGACTCTGGGTTTCGGATCTGAAGGTTGAACTTGTTGAACCCAAGATATTTAATCAAGCCGCCCTGCACCCATTGATAATCAAGGGGCCCAGACTGAAGCTCGAGTCTCTCCTTCCTAACAGTGATTTCGTCTTCATCTTGTGCTATGTTCAATATTGGTCTCATCAGTCTTCTATGTTTAGATTTTACCATGTTTCTAAATTTTTGTGGCTTATCAACCTACTTGAATGGATCACTTCAATCTTTTAAAGCACAGCGCCTGCCTAGAATGGACTTTCTCCTATCTAAGGGAGGGCCCCCTTTCACTTATCCGCCCTTCTAAGACATAAGTGGACTGGTGAATAACATGACTAACACTTTTATTCAAGTGTCGAGTATTTTATATAGACGGGCTCTTGATCTTGAGTTTTTCTTTGCAAAATCAACGCACCTGATGCTTATGGGGACTCCGACTTGCACAGACGTTACCGATTTAAAAGGAGTAGCATACTTTCCCTCAATGGCCCCCACGAGGACACACAATGTTTCTAGTAAAAGTATATGACTTATATATATGACTTCATATGACTTAACCTAGAATGGAAAAGCCCTGTAGGCTCAAAGGCCCTGTTGCACTTTGCGAGCCTGTCGAGTGGGCACGTCCCCAGTAACACAAAATATTCCAGCAACGTTTAAGAAATGTTGAAGAACAATGTTTGCATCTTTGTGAATGTCCAAAGCGTCAACGTTGCTCAAATGGTGCAAAGGAACATTGCCTTTACTTTGCAAATCGTTACTTATTCATTACATATACGTTGCAGAAACGTTTAAGGATTTATGTTGCTGCAATTTTGACTTAAAACGTTGCTTCAGGGCACCTAATCTGGGCCTGTTTTGGCATTACGGAAAAGCATAGGCTTCATTGGCCCTGAACTGGACCAATTTTGAATTATTTCATTTTTCATTTCGTGCCGTATACTTTACCTCTCCAACGCAGACTTTCCCATCAGCAGGACGAAGCTTTTACTGGTATAACCCCTACCCATCCATAATACACCATCTGTATCATGTACAGGCATGAGACAGCACGATTTTGGAGGCGATCTTCCCCTGGATGTGCTTTATGTGGCACATTACAGGGAAAGGTGCAACTGCAATGTTCTATGGAGTGTCTACGAAATCAGTCCTTCTCCTCATCTAATTCTAAGGATGAGGAGATGAAGGATTGAGATCACAAACTCTCTTCCATCGTTTATATTATCTTACAGGATGTAATCGTACACTTTTTTGGAAAGGGTTCATTTTGAATATTTGAGCATTTTTTATCTTGAACCCATAAATCTGCCTCGGATATGAGGATTACAAGTGATAAAGTGTCCGTGTTCATGGCTGCTTATAATGAGACAATACGAAAAATGTGGCAAGGTACTAAACATTCCAAACAGCATGTTTACGTAAACACGATATCAATTTTTTGCAATCAATGTAAATTTCTTACAATTGCCATGTAAATGACATAACATGTCAAACGAGTATGCCCAACATAATGTGATTTTGGCCCTTAGACCGAACTCAGTGAATCATACACATTTTAAAAGAGTGTCTCTTGTAGAATCAGAAAATAGCCAATTTATTCAAATTTGAGGGATTTAAAAAAGATAGGTTAGGTTAGGTTAGGTTACGGAATGGGTTGGTCTCGAAAGGACACCGATTTCTTCAGAATACAAACTTTCCCTGATTAATGAAACGAAAACCAAGAGACTAATGCATGTTATGCAATATTAATCGTATGATACAAAAAAGTAATGCACTCAAGATATTGAACAATGTTATCGCATATGAATTCCCTGTGAATCAATTTCGAACAGATTATTTCTCTGTTGTGCTTATTCATGAAAAATTACACATGTCCAATGTCAGTTCCCGATGGGTCCCAAGAATGCTGACTCCAGCTTAGAAGAACAGATCTGACATCTGCAAGGAAAACTTGGAGTTTTCTAAACAAATCGGAGAAACTTTTTTCCCCCAGAAT